TTCCTCATCTCTGTTCCGAGGAAACTCATTTGGGTCTTCTCCAACGATCCCTTGACATGGCTTTCGCTGCTCTTGAAAGGAATTCTAAGCTTTGTCGTCACTACCCTCAATCAACTCATACTTTTGATCAGTGTCCATATATTGAATACAAAACTTGATAGAAGGGACATATTGCTGCAAATTGTCCTCCTTTGACTTGTCGTTATTGTAAGAAGTGTGGGCATCTCATTGATCAGTGCCCCACTTGACCTCCTAAAAACCTGATCAAAGGAGATCATTCAAGTCTGGTTCCTCATCATCCAAGCCTGCTCTATCTGTTACTAATGAGCCACCTATTACTGCTGCTTCTACTTTGGGATCCTCTACTATTGAACTTGAGTCTTTACTCACAAGCTTATCTCTAACTCTTCTAGTCCACCTGCTACTTAGCCACACCTTCAGGTACACCTTCTTAGTATTTTGATTTTACCTGTTATAATCATATGACCAGTCAGAAACACTTCTTCTCCTCCATGTCACCTAATCCTACTATTCACCCTATATATACTGCTGATAACTCCCAAATGCCTATTAGTCATATTGGTACTGTTTCCTTGCCATCTCTGCCCATTCATGATACTTATTTGGTCCCTAACATTAGTTTTAATCTCCTATCTATCAGATAATTAGTTGATATGGGCTATAATGTTTTATTTAACAAATGTGGTTGTGTTGTTTTTAATTCTCAGACAAGACAGGTTATCGGGACTAGGCGTAAGGTTGGTCGAATGTTTGAACTCAATTCTTTACATCTTCCTGAAATCACTTCTTCTAGATTGTGTGTTCCCTCTACTTCTACTTCCTTTGAATTATGGCATCGTCGTCTGGCTCATCCTTCTTTAACTACTTTGCATCCTTTACTTTCTACTAGTCTTTTAAGACATGTTGATGTTGAGACTTTACATTGTATCTCCTGTCAAACTACTAAACAACCTGCTTTATCATTTAATAAAAATGACTTTATTGCTAATGAGTCTTTTGATTTAGTTCATTCTGATATTTAGGGCCCAGCATCCACTCCCTTTATGGGAGGCTCACGATATTTTGTGATTTTTGTTAATAACATGATTATCACAAGAAGTGATGATACAGGAGTCCAGGAACTCAAGATACACTTGGGCAGCAATTTGAAATGAAGGATCTTGGTAACTTGAACTATTTTCTTGGACTTGAGGTCCATCATAGGAGAGATGGTATCTCTCTCTCTCAGGTCAAATATGCTATTGATTTGATATCTCGAGCTCATCTTTCTGATGAGGAGGTTGAAAATACTCATATCGAGCCAAACATTTACTATACTTTCACTGATGGCACCTTATTGGATAATCACACCTGTTACTACCAGTTGGTTGGCGGCCTCATCTATCTTACTGTGACCCACCCTAACATTGCTTATGCAGTCCACATTGTTAGCCAGTTTATGTTAGAGCCTCAAACTATTCATTATGCAGCAGTTTTTCAGATCCTTCGATACATTAAAGTCACTCTATATCATGGGTTTCACTTCTCTGCTAGTTCCTCTCTTACACTGCAAGCTTAGTCTGACACCGATTGGGGTGGTGATCGTGATGATCGATGATCTATGACTGGTTTTTGTATCTTCCTTGGCCATTCCCTTATTTCTTGGAGAAGTAAGAAGCTGACGTTAACCTCCCGCTCCAGTGCTGAATCAAAATACCGTGCACTAGTAGACACAACCGCTAAAGTACTTTGGCTTCGTTGGTTACTTGACGAGCTAGGAGCATCTCAAAGCTCCTCCACAAACATCTATTGGGACAGTCAAGTTGCAATCAAGATTGCTCACAATGATGTGTTTCATGAACGAACCAAACATATTGAGATTGACTGCCACTTCACTCAGCAACATGTTGTTAGGGGTACCATCCAACTCATTCCAATACGAACCAAGCATCAACCAGTAGACTTGTTTATAAAGTCTTTTCATCCAGGCCACTTTCATTTCTTAATGGACAAACTCAAGTTGCTCTCGGTCAAACTATCTTGAGTTTGAGGGGGGATGTTATCTAGAATATTTTCTAAATATTTTATTATTATTGTATATGTATCTCAATCATTATTAGGAGATATTATTATGTAATTATTAATCATTATTAGGTTGTTTTTTTCTCGATGTTTATGTTGTATCTTTCAGCTAAATAATAGATAAGATATTTCTCCATATTTCTCTTGCTTCTTCCATATATATATATATATATATAGCAATATCAAAACACGTTACAAGGATATAGACCAACATCCATATTTTTTTAAAAAAAATTAAAATAATGACAAGAGGTCGACCATTGTTTATGAGCTTCGATTGGCCGTGACAACCAATGAACCAGAGCGAACATGACTCCCATTCGTCCTCCAGCTCCTCCTGGTATAATTCGGCCATAAATTCAAATCATCCATAATAAAATATATTAAATAAAAAATAATATTCATATCCTTAAACCAAAAATAAATAATATAATAAATACATCGTATCTCAACTGTCAACACTAATCCACCGCTGCTAATACTCTTGCCTTGAGCATGCACATGGCTCTGAGCTCCTCATATATATCGTTAATTACTATGCTCCGAAAGTTATGTATCCATTTGTCATTTTCCATCTCAAACATGCAACCCATCAGAATTTGACAAGGCACTAAAAATTGGATTGGGGTCAAAACCGTAATCGGATCCTGTTCAAATTGATTATAAACAAAACATTTTATTAAATTAATTAAGGCAGGGTAATTCAAATTTTCATACTATGTAATTTGAAGGTGCAAGTAATGTTCTTGTGACTTTTGATCAATTGGATTTGAATGCATCCAAAGCATATATCTATATATTGGACATATATTGCACAATTGATCAATTGTGCATATTTAAAACTACTCATATATGTCCCAATATATATCTATATATTAGACAGTTTTTATTTTTTATTTTTTTAGCCGTCTAATATGCTTCTCTATCTTTACATATTGGATAGTTGTGTATATAACTGTTCAATAAAAGGTGTCAAATATGAGTAATTTTGTAGCATTAGTGAAATCTCCCCTCTCCCTTTTTTTTTTTCCAAAAGACAAAATATGCTTTTTTTTTTTTACTTTGGTATTGTATTATAATTTTAAATTAAGCTCTTATATAATTTTTTATTGTTTTCTCATGCTAGGGATTTAATATGATCGAGGATTCGAGATGCTTCCAGGTGGAGTTGTGGTGGAGCAAAAATATTTAGATTTTTCTTTATCAATATGGTTCCATAGATATTGGTGTTGTATTATTTGTTTCTTTCTACTGTGTACTTATGTCATTACTTTTTATAAATTCTAAGTTAATAAAATATTATAAATTTTATGTTATATTGAGTTTTGGAGTTTTTTTTTTTTTTTGGATTGGGGAGAATCCTTCAATCCAAAAAAAGGCTCTATTTTTTTTAATATCATATTGGATTGGACTGTTATTATTACAACCGTTTAATATAAACTAAAATAACTATCAAATATTTTTTTTGTGAAAATAATAAAACCTAGAAACCAAAATCAATTATGCCATCAGCTTTTCTTTTCTTTTTATATGATTATTTAAATGGATCGTATTTGAATACTATAAGGTTCAATTGATGATAGTTTTCTCAAAAATATTTTCTATATTCACATAGACTTAAACTTGTGCTAGCAGTCTTTTTCCTTTTTTTTTTTATTATATCCCCTTTTCAAGGTGCCCTAAAACACATTCATGCCTTAATTTTTATTTTTTTATTCATTCAGATTACATATTTATCATGTCACCATATTTTCCCATACATTCGCTAGAAAATCGCAAGGAGAGAAGGCTAGTTCAACCAAAATCATGTTGCAAAACCCTACTTTGACCTCATATTTGGTTTAGCCTAAGAGCTAAGAGTTTATCACACTCCTCACTTTTCTTTTCTAAAAGATTGCCTGCGAGTTATTGTTGTAATATATATAATACAACGCTTATGTGACCACCAAGGCACGGTGGACGGTGGCTGAGTAAGGTAAAAGGGATTTGATTTCCCTTCAGTAATAGCAAGATTGTGAACTTTGCAGATAGGATAAAAAATTAAAACAAATACTTATGTGATCATTAATCAACCAAAATTCAAAAAAATAATAATAATAACACTGCACTAACTTCACAGCTGTGTCATCGAGCTCAATCTTGAAAGAGATTATTAACATCATGAGAGCTGTAAAATTACAAGGAAAATAACTTGTATACATTTAATTTTTATATTTTTATCAGAAGATTTTTAATCAAAACACGATAAATATTGAATGCTTTATTCTTAGATAACACATTGATTACATATTTATCTTTTATAAATAATAAAAATAGAGTCATTATACTTCACCCTCCCCTTTGCTTTTTTTTATAACAAGTTAAAATACACATTTAGACTTTAATTCTTTAACTTTACACAATATTATATTTTAATCTTTTAATTTTATAAAATATTTTTTAATATTTTAATCCTAACACCATTAGTTTTATTGACAAAAAAAATTCTTACATTAAACTTTTAAATATTAATTAAATATTATTAAATATTAACATATTAAGTTTAATTTTTTAAAGTAATAATTGACACAAAAAATAATAATTTAAAACTAACAGTATTAAAATTGAAAGTCTGAAAAAATATTTTATAAAATTAAGATACTAAATTAAATCCTTATATAAAATTAAAGGATAAAAGTTTCACTATTAACTTTTATAAGCCATTCGCAATGTAACAAGATATCACTATTAACTTTATATTTATTATAAAGTATTTAATAAAAATATATATATATACATATAAAGACAAAGTTAGTTTGAAAATAAATAACTATTTTATTAGAAAGTGAGATTCAATTAAAAATGTCTTATATTTTTAAACGGAGGGAGTAGCAATCTTTTTAACTGTGGCTAAATTCTTGATAATAACAGAAAAAATCAACAGGGAGAGATATAATATAATAATGGCAACAATGCAACCCAGAGTCAACAGTTCTTGTACAAACCCTTATGTATATATTATAAGGCATGCTTCAAAGAAGAATTCAGTAGCCTAGGACATTTAGAAATAAACAATTTATGGGGGTCCAAAAGCCCAAACTAAGCGGATTCAAAAACTAATCCCTCTGCGCCGTTGAATCCAACATGAAAATCTGTTGAATTTAGGCTGTAATTCCAATCTGCCATGACAATGACTGAGGACCATTCTGCTGTATTCTGTTTCAGTTTGCCATGACCAAACTAATCGCCCATCCATTACAGGCAAAATATTAATTAACAAAATCCTATTCACCATTTGTTTGTCCGTCCTACACAGGTTCAAATGGAACATGAAGTGGGTAAGTACCAGGACACATTTTCCTGTCATGATCCACCCGCGTCCCAACAAGATACCTGCAGAATAAGTCTGACCAAATTAATTAGTAACACAGTCCAACGAATCAGCACATGCACGCTAGGACAGCTGAGCAATGAGCAATCTGATATATATATATTTTCTCCCTTTGGGGTGGGGGAGTCAAAGTTAGCAATCCGATTAAGACCAGAGTAAATGATAGATTTATCAATAGCTGACAAATCAAATATTGAATTTCAAATATCAAGGCAATTAAATGAAACTGTAGACCAATCCGTTGTCAAATGAGAGCAAAATTCCAGAGTTAAATGTTTATCTTGATATGCATCATCTTAAACAATTAACAAATTTGGAATTCAATGAAAACAAATATTATGAAATTATATCTCCAGATATTTGTTTATAGTTCCATGATATATAATAAAGAACCATGTCAAACAAAATGAAAATCAACATTTCCCCTCTATGCATTTAGAACTTCCAAGGTAGGAAAATGAACTGCTAAAGCTTTTTGTTATTCATTAATATTGTATGTTAAAAGACAATATTCAAATTTATCAATCAACCATGATTACCCTGTACTCTGGCCAAAAAAAAAAACATTATTATTACCCGTACAGGACAAAGTAATGGATCTTTCAGATTCCCTGAAGAACACGCTGAGGATCCAGTTGCCCACTACAATAACTAGAGGGAACAGCTGAAAGCTCTAGTCTCCCTCTCCATTCTTCGCCAGGTTTTAAAGTGATAGATTTTTCAACAGCAGCAGCCTCTACACAAAGCATATGCTTATACTCATCATCCCCAAAATCTGCCATAGCCTTTGCTTTCTTATCCCAAGGGTTCCATACCACTGCATAGATAAATAACACGAGAGAGAGAGAGAGAGAGAGAGAGAGAGAGAGTTATATGAACAACCACTCTAGTGAAAACCATTTAAGACATCAAACTAGACCATATTTTTTTATAACTACAATTCTTAAATGCGGGAGCATACAATTCAATTGCTGCAAAGGTTATGAAATACGCTACTTGGTAGACATAGCTTTGCAAAATTACAACTGAACCTCGAACATCTCAAATCACGACATCAAAATATATTATGTTTAAATTGTAAAAATGTCATCATTTAGCTTAAGTCAGCAGTGCTATGCTTGAAAGAGGTATTGCAGAGATGAAGATGAAAAGCAGAAAACTTTTCTAAGCTATACTTCACTCGGATAATTAACTCTTTCATTACATCACTGAACTATCTACACATCAAGGAAATACAGTAAAGTATTCAAAAATCTCTATTTTGGTTGTCGAAAGATAGTGTTGGCATCAATTGGTATTACAGATTTTGTAGATCCCTTGGCACCTAAAGAGAATGATTTCACCCCGATTTCACCCTGTGAAGTACTTAAATGACAGCAATACCATCTTCGAGGATCAAAATATTCTAAGAGTTGGAACAAAATCATACTCTTGTACAAATTAATAGGCAAAATACAGTTTATGACCATGTGATTTGAACTATCTTCGCCTTGTTACTCCGTTGTTCAAAAGTTAATATTCCACTACTCTAAGGTTGGTTCGGTTAGCACAAAAATATCCTATGCTTTAATTTCATTAAACGTCGAATGAAACCACTAAAATCCCATAAAATTTCCCAAAGTTTCTCACAATTCCATCTCAGATTATTCAATCCTCTCTTTACCACCAAACCCGACACTCCTTGATTCTTGTCCCACCCTCAAATCCTAGATGATTCCCCATTTTCTCAAGTTTTCACTGCTGTATCAAAATTTCCAACCCCTCTCTTAGACAGAACATGTTAAGGGAAGAGAGAAGAAGGAAGAGAAGAGACTGATTTCATTCATAAAAATGTGCAAAGGACGTAGGATACAAGATATACCCTAAACCTAGACATGTGTCCAAAAGGTAAGGTCCTATACTGTCAATAACTAATCTGTAATGCAGAAATATATGAAAAGACAATAATAACCTATCAGCATAAGACAATAAAGCCATCAAATAACTATAAAATAGCATAACGTGTAACAATACTCCCCCCTTAAAAAACATCCTTGTCCACAAGGATAGTGGTAGAAGCTGGAGCATCTGTCTGAAAGTGAGGGAACTGCTGTTTTATGGCTGAAAGATCTTCCCAAGTAGCGTCTTTAGGTTGAAAAAATTTCCAGTGAACCAACACTTGAGTCACCGGTAGATTATGGCACTTAATGATTTTTCTACCCAGTAATTCCTCTAGTTCCATCATAAATTGACCATGATCATCCACCAGGGGTAAGGTGGGGGTAGTGGGGACAGCCGTGCTAACATATTTTTTTAACATGGAAACATGAAAAACTGGGTGGACCTTAGTGTGAGGAGGAAGGTCCAGTTCATATGCAACTTCCCCAAGACGCCGTAACACCTTGAATGGGCCAAAGTAACGAGCAGCTAGCTTATGCAAGGAAGAGTTGTTCAAGAGATTCTTCCTAAAAGGGTGTAGTTTGAGAAAAACCATGTCTCCTTCAACAAATTTTTGCTCAGACCGGTGCTTATTAGCTTGTTGAACCATCCTATGTTGAGCCTTCAATAGGTGTTGTTTCAAAAGCTGAATAGTAAGCTCCTGTGAATTGCAAGTTCTATCAACCATTTCATTAGATGAATCATCAGCAATGTAAGGCAGATGAGTAGGAGGAGGCACCCCATAAACAGCTTCAAAGGGAGACATACCAATGGAAGAGTGGAAGGTAGTATTGTACCATAATTCAGCAAGTGGCAGCCACTTAACCCACTGTTTAGGAAAATCTCCCGACATGCAACGGAGGCAACACTCCAAACAACAGTTGAGTACGTCAATTTGGCCATCCGTTTGGGGGTGGTATGCTGAAGAAAATTGTAATTTGACCCCATACAGCCTTGCGAGTTCCTTCCAGAATTTCCCATAGAAAATAGGATCCCGGTCTGAAACAATAGACTTAGGAAACCCATGCAACTTAACCACATTATCCATGAAGATATTGGCCACATCTACAGCAGTAAATGGGTGCTTGAGAGCCATGAAATGAGCAGCCTTAGATAAACGATCAACAACAACTAAAATAGTAGTCTTAGAATAAGATTTAGAAAGGCCACTAATAAAGTCCATTGAGAGCTCAAACCAAATATGTTCCGGAATAGGTAAGGGTTGGAGAAGACCAAGGGAGGCAATTAATTCTGGTTTAAAGCACTGACATGTAGTGCATTGACGTACAAAATTGCAAACATCCTTTTCCAATCCTTTCCAATAAAAAAAAGAGGCAAGCCGTTTGTAGGTGGGAGTCATACCTGAATGGCCCCTAATGCCATCAGCATGAAAAAACTGAAGTAAAGACTCCCGAAGACCTCGATCAGCACCCACCACCAGCTTACCCTTTCGTTTCAACAATTGGTGTTCCCAAGTGTACTTAGGATAAGAAAAGGGATTAATTTCCAGACTTCTAATCAGCTGCTGTAAATGATCATCAAGAAGCCAAGAATCGCACACCCTCTCATATAATGGAGAGATTGGCATTGAAATGGCCAAACAGTCCCCTTCAGAACACCTAGATAACACATCAGCTGTAGCGTTATCACATCCTTTGCAGTAAACGATTTCATAGTCAAGCCCCTAAAGTTTATGCAACCACTTACACTGCTCTTGACTCAAGTCACATTGCTCCAAGAGATGCTTCAAAGGTAAATGGTCAATACGGATGATGAATTTGTGTCCCCAAAGATAAAAACGCCACTGCTTGACAGCAAAAATAATGGCCAACAATTCACGCTCATACGCAAACAATTGTCTCTTACGGTAAGAAAGTGCCTTACTAGCAAAAGCCAAAGGATGGCCATTTTGGGATAATATTGCGCCCAATCCATGCCCTGAAGCATCAATTTCGATGACAAAGGTCTCATTAAAATTGGGAAGAGCAAGCACTGGCGGGGAAGTCGGGGAAGCCTTGAGGGATTCAAAAGCTGATTGAGCTTTAGGAGACCAAACGAAAGGCTCATTTTTCTTTAACAACTCAGTTAGGGGACTGCTGATAGAACCATACCCTTTAACAAAGCATCGATAGTAACCCGTAAGACCGAGGAAGCCTCATAATGCTTTAATGGAAGAAGGGATTGGCCAAGAAGCTATGGCCTCTAGTTTCTTCGGGTCTGCCTGAACCCCATCAACTGTGATGACATGACCAAGATAATCAATTTGTGTTGCTGCAAAAATGCATTTAGAAGCCTTAGCAAAAAGTCGATGCTGCCGCAAGAGTGATAAGGTTGCTCTCAAGTGCTCCAAGAAGGCTGCCCATTGTTTGCTATAAACCAAGATATCATCAAAGAAAACTAGGATAAACTTCCGCAAGAAAGGTTTGAAAACCGAATTCATAAGGCTTTGAAACGCAGCGGGCGCATTAGTGAGACCAAACGGCATGACCATGAATTCATGTAAGCCTTCATGTGTGCGGAAGGCTGTTTTAGCAATATTAGATTCATTCATTCGAATCTAGTGGTAACCGGCTCTTAAATCCAGCTTAGAGAAAAACTGTGCTCCAGTAAGTTCGTCCAAGAGCTCCTCGATAACTGGAATAGGAAATTTGTTCTTAACAGGGCTTCATTTAATCTTCTATAATCAACACAAAAACGCCATGTGCCATCTTTTTTCTGCACTGGAACAACAGGGCTACAAAAGAACTATTGCTTTCCCGTATGATTCCATTATCAAGCATCTACTAGACTTGCTGTTCAATCTCAGATTTTTGAACAAGTCTATATCGGTAGGGTCTACAACTCACAGGTTGGTCCACTTTAAGGGGAATGGAGCGGTCAAAAGAACGAGAAGGTGGCAGGGTAGTGGGCTCAGTAAAAACATCAGTGAAGGAGTCGAGTAAATTGTGCAATTGGTTTCGCTGATCAGAAGAAAGAGAAGAGTTGCAAGGTAACTATACCTGCAAGTGTTGAGGAATGTGAATGAGGTAGAGATAATCAGCCATGGTTTTATCACCATTAAAGAGAGTCATGTGCATAATAGGCTTCGGTATTCTGTAGCTCATCCCTTTTAGTGTAATTAATTGACCATTCTGATGAAATTCAAATAGATGCTCTGCCATGTCCGTGGAGAAACAGCCTAAGGTTTTGAGCCATTGAGCACCCAAAATCATATTGAACACCCCGACCTTCATGATTATAAAATCAGAAGAAAAGCAAGAAGCCCCCATTTCCCATTCCAGATTCGAACAGCATTTAGAGACTAACAGCTGCCGATTATCCGCAACATAATTTGAATGCCATCCTATTCTTGAACCTTCAATTTAAGCCGTTTAGCTACCCTTGAATCTAAGACATTATGCGTGCTTCCTGTGTCAATTAGGATAAGATGCTCTGACGTTTTATGCGGCCAGCGAGACACAACGTAGACGTGCCTTCTCTGCCCTCAATCGTGTTCACTATTCCGGTAGAGGGTAGAGGCTCGATCTCTTTTAATGCATCCTCAAAGAGTTCTGAATCATCTTCGACGATGAGGGCGAAGAGATGGGAATCTCAGCATCTATGGGTACTGCTATATTTTTCATTACACCAATAACAGAACCCCTTGCGACGTCGTTCGTCCATCTCACGCTTGGAAAGCTGCTTAGTGGGTCTGGACGACGCTGAACTGGACATACTGGTAGAGTTGAACGATTTGGGCTTATCAACAGTAGGGCCTGTAGACGGAAGGGGGTTGGGGTTCAATTCGATCTTGTGGCCCGATAGAGAGGAAGGTAGAAATTGAGGAGCAGCTGATGCAGAAAACGCAGAGGGGGCGTGAAAAGGCTTACGCAACGCTGAGGGGGGAGCATTCTCGTGAATCGCCTTAATGGTTGCAACCTGATGCCTCGCCATTTTCATCGCACTGGCTAAAGATGTGGGTTGTAGACTAAGAACACTCTGCTGCACATCACTCCTAAGGCCGCCTATATAAGAATTCATGGCAGCAACTTTAGATAAGTCGACTTCGGTGAGTAACTCATCAAATTTCTCTTAATACTCTTCCACAGACTCTTGCATCTGGAGCTTCTTAACAGCAATCATGGGGTTTTCATCCTTAATATCCCCAAACTTAGCTTCCATCTCATGAAAATATTCATCCCAAGAGAGGTCCGACAAACGCCTCTATTTTACAAAAGCGAGATGCTACCGCAAGGCGCGTTTCTCTAATAGATACTGAGAAGACGAATGCGATGCTCAACAGGTGTTTCGTCCACCTCAAAAAATTGGCGACATCAATAAGCCATCCTCTGAAATCAGCACCATCAAATTTCAAAAACTCTACTCTGCTATGCTTGGTTGGAACAAAGTAAGACGGTTGAGGGGTGGGAATAAGTCCTTGGAACGAACCAAACTGAGGGAGTGGGGTTGATAGGGGAGGAGGAGGAGTTGTTGCGGAGGACATGGTTGGTCTAGGAAATGCGGGTGGTGGAATATTGATTAGTAGGAGAGAGGTCGAAGCTGCCAGTCTAGGTGGTGTATTTGTCGCGATGGGAGCTTGGGAAGGTTCACCGGCTTCAAGGTTAGCAGAACGGGAAGGTTGATTAATAATCATGGAAAGCTTGGCATTAATGTCATTAAGCTGGGTAGAAAACTAGGTAGAAAACTGTTTATGGTTAGCCGCATGTCGGATATTTCCTCTGTGTGTTTGTCCATAGCAAGCTGAGTGCTACCCACCAATGCAGATTGCATCTCCAGTCGATGCTCAAGGTCGCCCACGCGTTCAATAGAGGATCGAGTCTCCGGTGGAGCCATGGCTGGAGAGACGGCTCTGATACCAAAATGTTAAGGGAAGAGAGAAGAAGGGAGAGAAGAGACTGATTTCATTCACAAAAATGTGCTAAGGATGTAGGATACAAGATATATCCTAAACCTAAACACATGTCCTAAAGGTAAGGTCCTATACTGTCAATAACTAATTTGTAATGCAGAAATATATGAAAAGACAATAATAACCTATCAGCATAAAGACAATAAAGCCATCAAATAACTATAAAATAGCATAACGTGTAACAGAACCCCCCACACTCCCCAATGTTAAATGTGAGATCCCCAAACTTCCCAAAATCCCTAACTCCCCCATCCAAAAACCCACACTCTCCCAATTCTAGCCCAAAGTGTTCTAGTTAACATCGTTGATTTATTTATTCCCAACTGAGCTCTTCAAATTCTTGTTGCTCTCAAATAGAAATCTTCATACAGCAGAAATCCCCAGCCAGTAAATTTTATAAATAGCAGTAACTTCGGCTACAATGTTGTCAGAACAGTGTAAATGTGTGATAGCTATGTTAAAATAAGTGTTTTGACCACTAGTAGGCTAGGCTTGCCCTAAATGTACTGCCCTTGCACTGGACACAATTTTTTACTATAAACATATATGCTAGAAAAATAACTGAGCAAGTAAGCAATCCCTTCAGATTACTTCAGTCAACTTGGTATCAAAGTTGCGTTTGAGAGGAGAGTTAGATTTCGATAGCCTTTCATTTTATGAACTAGAGCTCCAGTTTTCAACAGGAGCTTAGGCACCCCAACTGTCCATCATAATTCCAGCATCCTTTTCCAACCCTTTTAGTGACTGTAATATTTCTGGGCGACAGAAAACATTTTCTATTATTTCATTGTGTTTTTGGTTCTGCTTTAGCTTTTTAAATGTATTTCTCCATCTCGAGGGCTATAATTGTTTTTATTCATTTTTTTTTTAACTAGTAACATTCCTGAATATGAGTGTGCAGCTTGAAACCTAGGTTTGAATTTTTTTTTTAAAAAAAAAAAAAGTGAACTAAAGCTTGTTAAGGAAGCTGCTTTGGGGAAACCTATCCACATCTCCAGACTCCGGTATTATAAATAGGGGAGGGCATGCTGGTGCAATGGGTGAATGAATTATGTTGGTTATTTCATTTCTCAAGCCCATATCATTGTATCATAGGTCAAATATTTCTATGAGTTATGTCAATTGAGTTACTAAAAGACAGACATAAGGGTTGCTCATAGGTCAGAATCTGGGGAGATGCTTGCCTGCAAAGAATGTTGCCAGAGAAAATGCTAGTTGCTGAAGTTTCCGAATTGGAGTTTAGGGTTTACAAGTCTAGATGTGTTGGTCTTGGAGAAATTGGTTTCTATAATCTATTTATATGAAGCTAAAGTTTCGACTAACTTCAGATGAGGGAGTGCTCTAGTGTAAGCGCCTGACAGCTATGTTAAAACAAGTCCGCTGATACTCATGGTTTGGACTTTTGCAGGTTGCAATACCGTTGAGGTTGACCTAATAATGAGTATAAATAGATACACAAGGAGCCTTGCTTAGTAAGTAAATGATCCCATTCAAATAACTTTTTTCTTTCTTTTCCTCTATCAACAAAGATGAACTTGATAATACTCACCAGCATCAGGAAGTCCATCTTTACGTAGCACAAATGTTCTTTTCTTCTCATGATCAAGAATTGCAATCTTTGTGGGAGTGCTCAGATATATCTTGTCCACCTATCATGCCAAGAAAACCCAAATAATCAATTCAAACTCATCAAAGCATAATAAAAAAGTAAATCAAAATTTGCTACATAAATGTACTTAATATTCTCAGATCTAGAGGAAAACTGGGTACAGATATGTACAGCCAATGCCCGCACATGGCACAAGTTGTGCTATCATGGGCAATGAGCAATGGTTAAGAGACAAATACAAGATATGATAAGAAAGGAAAATAAAGAAAATATAATTGAGATCGAACTGCTACACCCAGCTCCCAGGCCACAGGTGGCTCTGAGAGTGATCAGCACTAAGGAGGACCTATTTTGGCATCTCCTCATCGTAGCAGAAGGGGAGAAAACAACTTACTTCTGATTCAAACGTTAAAGCAGCGGTAAAACCCCCTTGTTCTGCAAGTTGTCAAGATAATCCAGTGTCTCTAATCCCTCAACCCGAACTTCACTGAATACAAGCAAATGAACTAGTTAAAAGCAAGTCAACTGCTAGCCACAAATGTATCTATTCCTGAAAATAAAAAGAAAGTAAATTATGAAGAGTAATTAAGCTACATTAGTATAAAAACAGAACAAGAACATAAATATATACAGTCTAAAATATAATTTATATCAGGTAAATCTTGGTAAATTTAACAATAATGAAATTATTTTGTTTAGGTGTATAATACTGAAATATTTTTCCAGAGCAGAACTCGACATTTTGAATGCCGCAAATTCAACCCAAGAAGCTGCAATTGCAAATTATTTTGACATCAACAAAATTTCCAAACATACATACCAAACTAGGGACCTTCATTTAACAAAGAATATGACAGGTTGAAACCAAAGACAACTTTAAAATTTCCTAACAAAATTTTGCAATTTAAGGCTGAAACAGTCACTTAACCAGCAATAGATTTCCCATGTCAAGTCTTGAAAACAATCATACACCTGGTTTATTAAATGATATAGTTTTCTTCACCTTTTCACTATACTGATCTTGTTTAGCTCTTGACTGGAAGTTACTTTCAAGAGTACCAATACACAAAGAAACTACAGAGTTTAATGAAGCACCCATACAATAAAACCAACCTCCTCCCCCTGCCAAGACTTATAAGATAGTCTATAAGATAGCGGTTGAACTCAATTTCTATCATAAAAATTCACTGTTGGAATACAAGTGGGAAGAGATAAGAACTTGGACCTACATTCTGAACACCTTTAACAAATAAGAATTACAAATTTACACTGCAATTAACAGGCTGATGATTTTAAGTTTCAATACAATATTAATCAACAATCCTTCTACATGAGCAGACAGAACAAAGTGATAAAGAGATAGTGAATTACTAGATTTGACATACTGAATAAAAAACTTTAATACTCGAGTGAGACAAACTTGTTTCAAGCACTCTACCTACCATATATCTGACACACAGAAATATGTATGATAAGCAAATGTGAATGAAAATGGCTTCCCGTCAGGATTTGTATTCCTAATCCGAGATGTTAACATCAGGTCTCCTCCTGGTCCAAGAGCTACCCTAAGACGATATTCAAAACTAAATCCAAACAAAAAGACAATATCAGAAAGAATATAAATTAGAAATCCAAACAGTGAAACAAAAGTGAAAAGTTAAGAAAATAAGTAAACAGTATGTTATCTAAAAAGTAAACATAGCATTGAAAGTCTCTACTCTTTATATGTACCTGTGAGGCCAAATCTTTGCATCTTCCTCAGAGGGTTTAAGGATCAAATCAACAAAAGCTTTACTAGTGGTATTTGTTGGAAATGGAGGAGGATCATTATCAATGGCCCAGAACCGGTTTCTAGCAAATCCATGCTGCTCAAGTGTACCATGGCTTCCAAACTACAATTACAGTATAGTGAATTTTAATTACTTCCTCAATCCCTATTTATATGACAATTTTACCTAGTTTACAAAAACTGAGAAAACCAATTCATGCCTTTAAAATTATTCATTTTCCACAAATGCCCTTAATTAAACACTGTTCTCTCTCACACATTCTCTCTCTTAATTAATTAAAAGCATCATTTTCAAAGGGAATTTTTAGGAAAAAAACACACTCCCTCTATTCAATATTATAAGGCATTTTTAATTAAATCACACTCCTCAACAAGGACTCAAAATGTCTTACATTTTTTAACATGTTACCTCAGAAAAATTTTTTATATTTTTTAATGAAGGAAATATCAATTATTGCCTAGATTTTGTAAAATCTCTTGTAAATAGGGACACCCAACTCTTATCCATTTTGTCTTATAAAAAGGGACAGATGGAGTATGACATTAGAGATTCCAATATTCTAGGAATTTAATCAATTGGATATCCTACTCTAGGTTATACTTAAATTTCCCACAGAAATTACAAAGATATTACTTGAGTATGATATTAGGGTTTCTTGTTCTAGTAAAATCATGACAATTAGGAACTTATCTACATAACAGAATCATTTAATGCATGCCAGAGCTTAAGTTTTATGATTACATATATGTTAAACTGCATCTCATTTCTTTTATCCCCTCTCTATCCTACCCATCCCCTTTTTTCCTTTCCCAGATAGCATTGCCACAATAAAAGCAATTATGGGAACTACATATCTTGAAGAAGTACTTACTTGAGGAAAGCATATTGGAATCCCTCCGCGAATTGCCTTTGGAGGCTTAAATATAGCCTATACAAGGAACAAGATTCCATCAGGAGATACAAATTGAATGATTCCAAATAGAGGTTATTTATCTATCTTGATGCCAGTCAAAAAGACATTTATCTGAATGCTGGCACACAATTTGCAGATATAGTGGCTCCACATTCCACAAAATTGCTCAATATGCTCAGACAACAACCAAAATATCTAGTTTCAAGCACTTAGTTCTACAAGATAACACATTTCTTAGGAAGGACACAAGTACATATGATTGATATTGTTATGTGTGTGTGTGTGTGGACAAAAATAGAAAAGAGGCATTGATGAACAAAACTAGAATGCTATCATTCAAGCGAAATAAGAACATGTAGAATAACAAGAATTTAAAAGAAGCGAGGAAGCCAAAAAGAAGAGAGAGAGTGAAAGAGAGAAGGAATGGAAAAATAGAAAACACCACTAGGGGAAAATGCTTGCACACAGGCATTCTGAAGCTGAAAACTGAAAATACTACCTCCAGTCCTTTTTTATAATAAAAATTTAACAATGTTCACACAAGTTAAGAAAAATAGTTAAAATTAGTTACTCATTAAATATATCCATATTTTCAATTATTTTCCAAAAATTACCTTCCTCAAAAGTTTATTAAATTAGTGTAGCTTTGTCTCTCTCTACATAGGTACTTAGGGAAAACAACAAATTAATACTTCTAGAAATGCATAAAGTTATTACAAAAAGGACCAAGAAAAATTTCTAAAATGTCTCTTACAAAAAGGACCAGGGGAAATCTTTTAATAATAATTACAATAAAAATTGAAAAGGAAAATTGAAGAAATCTCTGTCAAAACCTCCATTAAAAAAAAAAAAAGCATAACTAGATAAAACGCTAACTGCCTATCATGCATAGCATGTAGCATATCATCAAATCCTAACTTGAGATGTAGCTGCCAGAGGATGTTCAGAACTTAAGATCTATGAAAATATTATTTGAAATGGGATCATCGTATTTGCACTAAGAGATGACAGCATTTAATTATCTTGTAGACATCGAATATTATCTGAAAAGCCGTTTCATCTTATACTCTGACTGAAGAAGCTCATAAGAAGGGAAAATTGAATTGTCAAATCCCCACTCAAATGGTGAGATCTAGAGTATAACAATATGATCAGCTAACAGTTTATAGGCTAAGTGACGAAATATAAAACCATCGAGTGCTGACCTTACTACTGAGGAAAAGCAACTCCTCCCCGTGGTCATTCTTCCAAGAAGTCACATGACCACCATACAAGTACACCTGAAAACCACAATCAATGGAATAAAATGTCGCAACAGTCAACATTTTATTAGAAGTTGTCCAAGTATAATGACAGGTATCACGGGAAATCCTGATCCTAAATGATCGGCACCCACCGAATGAGAAGGACACAAAATTGGACTGAATACGACATCGCAAAATCAAAAATGACAACATATAATCAGGAATCTCAAGGAATGCACAAATCCCGACCACGAAACCAAAATCAAGCATCGGATCAGTTCTAGCACCGTAGAATCAGACAAGAAATTGAGCAGATGCAGCTACTACAGAAACAGACAAACATAAAGACAGATAGAATAGATGAACTCATGAGAAAATGGAAGAGGAAAAGGACCTCAGCGGAGCTGCCTCGGAACTCACGAAGAAGGACCTTTTCGAGGCCATTGACACCCTTGCAGAGCTGGTAAGAAGGAGATGAAGAAGGAGGAATTGGACTGGGAACTGAAGAAGCAGGTGGAGGAGGAGCCTGTTCGGTGCTCATAGCTACTCTCTGGCTTTTTCCTCTAGTTCACGACCACCATACGATTTTCAAATTATGCAAATTCTGAAACCAAAGCAAGAGTCTGCAACTGCAAGAACCTCTGTATTCTATTGTGCTATTTCCTTTTAACTTTTCTCATGCTGTGTTTCCGATTATCTTTGTTTTTGTTATTTTTGTTCTAATGCGGCAAAGCTGTAATCTCCCTGTCGCGTGCGCGCGTGTTGTTATTTCTTTTATATATATATATATATATATATATATTACCATAGTTTTTTTAAAATTTAAATCCCTTATTATTTCACAGTTATTAATTTTTTTAGTTTTATACTAACTCGTTTTTTTTATAAGACACTTCTTATAGGATTTTAGTGTCCTGCTATAAGACAATTTTCAAAATTTAGGCGTATCTAATTCAATTTTTTAAAAAAAATTACCCATAAAAATTCCTTTAATTAATTAAAATTATCTAAAATTTTAATATACATTCTGTTTTATCTCAAATTAATAATTAATAAATTTATTTAAATTAAACATGTAAAATTTATTTAAATTTTTACTTTTTATATTTTATTTAAAAATTCCCTAATTATGACATTTTGTTTTTTAAATATATTTTTTCATTAATTATATGTTATAATAGAATTTTTTATCTCAATTTTTTAAAAAAAATAAACCATGTTATGTGTTGGCAAATTTGTTGATAATATAATGATAAATTAATTGAAAGAAATTTATGAAAAGTATAATAGTATAAATAGATTATTTCACAGATCACCGAAAATATGTAGATTATTTCAGGCTTTTTTTTTGGGGGGGGGGGGTGGAGAAACGGAGATTATTTCAGCTAAGATATCCACGCCACATTCAAAATGCCTTTTTAGAACCACCTGCATGCTAAGTTGCTAATAAATTTAAATTTTCATGGAACGACTAACGTGAAAGTGATATTTAAAGAAAGATAAATAGATACTCCATGAGATAAAAAATATATAAAATATTTTTAATCGAATTATATTTTAATAAAGTAGTGATTTGTGACCTTTATTTAATAAGTTATTTCACTTTAAAATAAATATAAAATAATTTATTGATTAGATATGCTTTAAAAAAATATAATAATTATATTTTAAAATATTAAAAATATTTTATATTTTTTTAATATTCAACCCTTAAAAATATCATATACTTTTTGACGGACGAGGTAGATGCCAGCATGAAAATGGAAAAGCTGTGAATTTTTATGAAAATGATGGAACTTTTGAAATCTTGCAATACATCAATGCCTTTAAGAAAATGTTTTCAATATAATTATTGTATTTGATATGTTACTCCTTACTTCTAATAAAATTATCATTATCAGTCTTTGTAAAATGATTAAAAAATACCGAACAGAAAGATTTAGAAAAAGATTAAATATAAACACTTGGAATATTTAATTTTTTAATTATTTTTATAATATTATAATAATAGGCCCTCCTATTAAAATCATGAAGCTTCCTTGCAATAAAAAAAGGAAATAAAACAACCAATAAAAATAGGGTCTAATAAGGGAGGTTAATCTCTTGGCAAATCAAGATTTGAATTTCAATTGAGAGATGTGCCCACATTTACTCAACTATACTTCAAATAAAATTATCTTCAATAAAAAAAATATTTATGAGTAATAAAAAAGAAAATTAAATTAAATCATGAAGCTTCCTAGTTAGCTCACATATACATTTTCTAATCCTCACCGTTTGGCCGTGTGTGCACATCCTTCGTATTGTTGTGGGAAAAAAACAAGAAAGGGTTGGCGCTAGTTCTTTTCTTAGAAATAAACTGCTTATAATTTATACTTAAAGGAAGAACAGCTAACACAACAATATTGGAATGATATTATTTTACAGATTTATGACTAGCAATTGTTATTATTGTTGTTGTTGTTGTTGTTAGTTTTAATATCTGAATTATGTTTTTTTATTTTTAAAGTCATGAAAAAAGTAAAAAAATAAATTATTATTTATTATAAAGGTGTTGAGCAAAAATTGGAATAGTTTTCTCACTTTACCGTCACTAGTTGAAAAAACATTGCATATATCACCAGGCGATCTATCATTTTTGTCTTCATTTTAATAACGGTATAATTAGAAAATTTTGGAATAAAGTTTAACCCAAAAAAAAAACCATAATAAATTTTCTTGAAAGACGTGGCTTGATAATACTTAAATCTAATACAATAATGTTAAATCCCAAATAATTGTATAAAAAAATGAGAGTCGGATTCTTCACTTAGGGGATTACTGATAAATTATATAATTATAATGAAGGAAAAAATGTGGGTGGGCGTGATTGTGAATAGTGATGAAGAATTCAAACCCTCACAGTATTAAAAAAAATTATAGCTATAAAAATTAAAAAAAAACTAATCATTCCCTTAAAAAAAACACTTTGATGGAATCAAAAGCATTGTGAATCCTACAAACAAGGGCCGTGAAACTTGCCTTGTGCTATTTCACAACACCTTATGTTTGGTTGGCAGAATTTTTTATTCTGACTTGGGAATGAAAATGGATCTTAACTCTACTAAGTTTTGTTTGGGGCAGAGTAAGTGCATTCCATTACTTGATGGCTTGTGCAGTGGAATTTTGAGGATCAAGGAGAGAAGGAGCATAAACATCATGATAATCATTTATATAATATTTATTTTATTTTATTTTTTATTGGATACAAACATCATCTTATTAAAAACAATCATTTTTGAAATACAATCAGGCACCATTGTAGACATTTCTTTTGGCTAGATTTTGAATCTCAATTTATTATGATGTGAGAGACTATTTTCTTTTCCACTAGACGTAATATTTATTTCATTTTTGTTATTAGTATTTAGGCCATGTTTGGTATGATAGAAAAGTTTTTAATGAAATCGGAATTGAAATTGAAATTGGAATAGAATTGAATTTAAAAGTGTGTTTGGTATGATAATGGAATCTTGATATAATTTTAATAAAATATAAGTACTTAAAATAAGAAAAGACTAAAGTGTCCTTTTTAAAATTAAAAAAAATTACATTGGAGGAGGGAGAAGGGGCAAACTGGAGAAAGGGAATCATGGAATCGGATTCCATGATGCATGTGATGGAATTAAATTCTATCAAATTTCTTTGAATCCAGATTTCAAAGAATCATAATTATTGCATACCAAACACACATGTTAACAGATTCCATGTCCAATTCCATTTCTTTCTCCATGATTCCAAGCTACCAAATGGGATCTTAATGATTTCAATGTTGGCAAAAAAAAAAAGATATCAATATTATACTAATATTCAACATAAAATATTTCATATTCATAGTATATCACTATGTATTGTGCGTGATTCACCTAATTTTTTTTTTTTTTGGTTGCTATACAAAGAGTAACTTTGTATTTGATTCGTTATTTATAAGTTTCTGTCTGTCAAATGCATCCCAAAAAACAAAAATTGATGGAATAGAAATAGATTGCCTTAGATTGGGACTTGACTTGAAGAGGCTCCTTTGCTGTCTCTGTCTCTCTCTTTTTGAAAAATAAAAAAATACGAATAGACTACTATGCCCTTGGAATGACAATTTATACTTTTATTTATAAATCTTTCATTTTCTCTCTCATAAATCATTTCATTATTCTATTTTTTTTATTAGGCCTTGGCCTCTTTGTTTCATAGGCAAATTTTTTTAAAAGAAAATTACAATGCTATCTGTAAATCATGAAGTCACCAATCAACATTGATTCTAGTAAAAAAGATCATGACTGCTTAAATATAAGATATTGAGTTCAAATAGCACAGAAAACACTTTTAAGAAAGCTAACTCCAATTATATTCAATAATTTCAAATATAACTTACTCAAATACTTATATAAAAAAATAAATCGTGAAGTCACTGAAAGCAACTCTAATTATGACAAGATAATAATTAATGTAACAAATTATTTCTAGCTATTTTACTAAATTTAGTGCCACATGTGACTCAACTTCTTAGTGACCTAAAATCAAATTTATAAATATAATTAATAATTAATAAATGTGATTATAATAATCAATCTAATAAAAATAAATAAGATATCGATTCTCATTTAATACACCCACTGTATCAAACTTAAAGTTCAAAATGTTGAGAGAGAGAGAAACCCTTCAAAATGCATTGCGTTGTGAAAATAAAGAAAATATGAGAGATTGAGATAGAGAAATGAACAAGACAAGAAAAGAATGGGAGAAAAACAGGGAGTGCTTCTTATTCACTTCAAGCTTACAATCACTTGAAACATGCCCCATATTTATAATCTATAAATCCTTAAATTCTATTACAAGAGTTAAATACAAAGAATAAATCTACATGATTGTAGAATATATAACATATGTATTAATCATGAAAAGCTTTCAAGAAACCATTAATGTTGTAGGTTATCTAGCTTTAATTAGAGAAAGCCAAAAGATAACTTTTAAAAGGTTATGAACATCTATATTTATATTACAATATTTATAACACTCTCCTTTAGATATCCTTAAACAAGTAATGTGTCTTATCAAAACTTTATTAGGGAAAAAACCCAATGGAAGAAAACCTAATAAAGGAAAAAAAGTACACAGTGTATAATAAAGTTGCTTCATTAAAAACATTGCTAAGAAAACCCAATAAAACAAAACCTTGGTTAAAAAAAAAAAGTATAGCACAAACTTTACTCCCCCTAATAATAACATCACTTCTTGTTACTGTATCTCAATAGAGAATGATAATTTCTCAAATGTGGTTGTTGCCAATACTTTTGTAAAAAATTCTTCTTTTTAGCCAAATTATGCCTAAAGTATTTTCATCATACATATCCTTTGAACATGTTTTCTAGATATGTTGAATTATCAATATATAATATGTTTGTTTTTTGTACAGTGGAGATCACAAAAAAAAAGGTTATTTTAAAAATCATCATGGTATATCTTGTATTTGCATGTTCAATTTGTTCACAGAACAAAATGATACCATATAATGATATTATAGAACTGCATAAAATCTCCATTTCAATATCCATTTTTGTATTTGTAGGAACTTAATTTTGCAAAGAAAATTATAGCAAATGCCACATTAGCAAAATTTGCAACATTATCATATAATAAATACAGGGAGAAT